TAAGTATTAAAACTACCACAGTTCTGTATGTCACCTTTAATGTATTTTATTATAGTATGAAATGTCTATAATGAAATTCACCAAATTAATAATATAAGAAAGTAGTTCCATGGTCAAGCTATTTTATGGGGATTAGAATTCTAATTTGACAGATATTTTTGTCATTCAGAATCTTTAAACACATTAACTCATAGTCTTCTCACTTGGAAACTTCCCAATAAGAAATCTATGATTTTTTTTTTTTTAAACCGGGGATTGAACTCAGACCCTTGTGCTTGCCAAGGAAGCACTTATTCCACTGAGCCATCTCCCTGGCCCCTGCTGCAATTTTTATACTTGTATAAATCCACATGTGTCTTCTCATGTGTATCTCACTTCAAGATTTTTGGTTTGTTGGTGGAATCATTTCAAAACTAAAAAAACTTCAGCACAGCAATGGAAACAACTGATAGTAGTAACAGACAACTTTAATGCCCCTCTGGTCTCCAGATTTCAGCTATAGATGTTTTCCCCTTTTTGGCACCTGGGAGGATGTACTTCCGCGCTTATTCACTTCTTTACATTTTGTTGTCTTCTGCTTTGCAGGCACTGATACTTTCTTCCTCCTGTTGCCATTTGGGTCAAGTGCTATAGGATCGTTTTGTTCTATTTTCTCACTCTGAGGAGTGACTTTGGATGCAGCTGGTTGTTTGATCGCATTTTGTCTGCTGGCTGCAAAAACACCAGGTATCTTTTCATTCTGACTTGTATCTTTCACTGTCTTTGTTTCCATTTTCTTTTTCTTGTATTTAGCATCAACTTTTTTTTTTTTTTTGCATCAACTTTCTTTTTCTCTTCTATAACACATTGTGCCATCAACATTTGGTGCAATGTCTTGAAAATTTTAATGGCCGCCGTCATCATAGACTTCACACCCGCATTCAGAATCATCAGCTCAGCTATCTCCACGCTGCTGGCATTCTCCAATTTGCTCTTGGCAATGTTGAACTTTGGTGGAATAAAGTACACAAACCTCTTCAGTTCTTCATCAGTGAGGCTATCCAGACCCTTGACTAGCAGGATTTCCTTACATGCATTCTCCATCTCACGATTCTGGGATCAGCCCTGGACCACACAGCTAGGAAGAGGCAATAAAAAGCCTGAACTGAATTCTTCTGAATCAACTAATCTGTGCCTTCTTTTGCCAACTGACTTATCCCTTATGGTTCAGAAAATTCCAGTAACACCTTAGAGCACCCTGGAGAGTCACTGGTATGAACTGCTTTGAAAGCTGAAGAAACTGGAGGTATAGCCTCAGCTAACAGCCGCAGCAAAAAATCTACCAGCTTAAGCCAAATGGAGAGGAAGGCAAGCTGACCTCCTCTCGCTTCCTCTTTTATTCCTCCTGGACTGCCAGGGCTTCTCTCTTGAAATGCATTCCATCTTTTCTTTTCCATCCTCTTTCTGTCCTTCTTCCACGTCATCTCTCTCTCTCTCTCTCTCTCTCTCTCTCTCTCTCTCTCTCTCTCTCTCTCTCT